TGCTGGAGGGGGACCCCGAAGGGGATGCAAGAAGCATGCTGTAGGTAGCTGTGGAAAGTGCCTTTCTACTTTCAGTCCCTCAGGGTTAAGCACTGTGCTCTGAGGTACAAGAACTTTGAAATCTCACTGCTTGTTTGCTTCCTGCCACATGCAGTTTTCCTGCCTCTGAAAACAAAATGTTGGTCATTTGGGAGCTTCCTGTTACTTTCAGATAGCAAAGATAAAAGGCTGGGAGAAACAGTAAATCTACCAAAGCATACAAACCCAAGGTATTTACCTGTTCTATATCTGCTAAGATTTAAGTGACACCTACTCAGTGGTCATTTACATGCAGTTCTGTGCATGCCAGCAAGAGGTATGCTAGAAGGAAAAAAAACCCTTGCAAACATCATAAATAAGAAATGAAACACTCCCCCAGACCTGGGTCTCCAGTGCACATACACTAATTACACACCAGAGAGTAAAGCCTCAGTATGTGCAAGCATTTAATTCATTATTTACATTTATTAAAAACATTCCTTTTCACTTTAACAATACAGTAACCCAACAGTGAAATAACAGCAATTCAAATGTGGTCATTTACAGACATGCGGTTTCTTGTGCCCATTGTACATTGCAGCGCTGCCAAGTCTCACACCTTAGGAGTAAGCTCTTGCTCTCTCCTCTCTCTCTGACACACGTACATGCACACACATACAAAATGTATGTCTGCTCTCACCTATACCCTTTTGGGAAAACCCACAAATTTCTTCAATCTCACTCTTACAGATTTAAAAATCCTGGCAGCTTTTGAATAGCTTTTCTTCATCAGCTCCAATTAAGTGTTGGAAAAGAAATCCAAAACGTACAGAGAGAGTCTTTCTCCCTAATAGGAAATGTTAGCAATAGTATGTGATTTCTAATATGTTCCAAAGTTTTGCCACGCCATCTTACTGGAAAGCAAAGTCTGCATGCCCTGTGATTAGATTTCCTTAAATCCTTGGCAATTCAGTGTTGTCAGCCATAATATAAAACATAATTTATAAGTATTTAACTGTTTTAAGAGTATAGTTAATAGCTCTCTGTAACATGATCTTAAAGAAGTTGATTAAGTGTGCTTTACAACGTGACCAGAAAGAGCTTCCGATTAGTGACATCGATAAATATATTTTACATCTCACATGGCCCATACTCTTAAAAGTTTGGAGTGTTGAAATAGGAGTCAAACCAAAATGAAATCAAATCATTAGAACTGAAGTGTTTCCTTGCCACACTTCATCAATATCATGTCATGCCAATAGATTGAATACCCACAACATAAAGTACCTTTCTCTGGTAATAAAAGCTAGAAATATGTAAGTTTTCTGTCACTCATACAAAGCAAAGATGGGCCTCAGGGGAAGAATTCAAGGCTGGATCCAAAACTCATCATGGTTTTGGTTCAGGCTGTAATACAGAAAGTAAACAGAAAAAATGTTAGGCTCTGGATCTGAATAAAAGTTCACATATACCCAAGGTTAAACAGATGCGGTGGGGACTAATTTCTAATTTCAAGGCTATAAATTGCTTAAGGAGCTCAGAGGTTTAAAAAGATAGTATAGTTATGAAAATAGTAAATGTTTTCTGAACATGCTTGACTCTGTTCCCTGGGAGTCTCTAATTGCCCCCCAACTTCCTTTGGCAATTCCAGTTAGCTGCTTGCAGTTTTTATTCCTCATTCATCTCATGTCTGAAAAGGCATTAGTCTCATCCTGGCAAAGAAAGTCTCAGTATAATTACAAAGCACAGGGATTTTTATGTCCCATAGTGAATTTCCAATCTCTTTTGACTCTAGTAATGTTCAAATCCACTTACTGCATTCACATAGGTTTTTACCTTATGTAATATTTCTATCAAAACCACAATCTTAATTTGCCACTGTATATTTGTCCTCATGTTTATGCACTTGAGAAATTAAGAACCTAAGAAAAAGGTTCTGCCAGCTTTTTATTTCCATGTAAATACCCTGGTGAAATGTTTTTTGCCAACAAGATGAGACATATATTCTTTGTGAAATGTACATCTAGACACAAAAAGAGATAACTGATTTTTTTCAGCCTTAAGAAGAGAAGGCCACAGGGAGACACTATCGCTGTCTACAAATAGCTAAGCAGAGGGTCTAGAAAAGATAGAACTAAACACTTTTCAGAGGTGCACAGTGAAAGGACAAGCAGCAGGAGACAACATCAGAATGGGATAAATTCCTATTTGATATAAACAAACTTTTTTACAATGAGAGTTTTCAACCAATTTCAATCACTCCTCTGAGTGATGGTGGAATCTCCATCCTTGGAGACATTCAAAATATGGCCAGGCAAGGCACTGAGCGATGTGCTCTCCTTTAGCCTGCTCTGCAGGTCCCTCCCACTCTCCATGGCTCTGACACATATAGGAAGAATTCCATCAAAAACATACTTGACATTCACTATTTTTTCCTTAAAAAACACCCACATATTGGCTAAACACTTATTTTACATGCTCAGTGTACAATTCTGATATACCATTTGTTGCAAAATACTGGCTCAAATGAAAACATCTTCCTGTTACTGAAATCAGTGGGGCTGAAAAGGTGAAAATTAAGTCAGAAGGAGATGAGATTATTACCATCATACTTGTAATCAGCTTTTCTAATTGAATTAGTGTATTAGTATTAGAGAGTCTCTCAAGACTAGGGATTCATTAGAAACACAAACATTCTTTTTTTATTTTACAATTTTAAATATTTTTCAGAGAATGTAGGCAAAGACAGAAAAATAGTATGGGGTTTGTTTTGGTTTTTTTCTACTCAAGTGCAAGTTTTCAGAAAGATTTGCATCACATGGATGAATTTCAGGATATCTCCTGATATCTCATGATCCCTGCTTAGAAAATTCAGACTGATTAAGGCACTCCACCATTCATTCTCAGACCAAGTGCAAGTTTCACCAATTCCAGTCACATTTTTCTTGATCTAAATCTTTGTACAAGTACAAGAAGATTGATTTTTGACCTGGGATAACAGCGCACAACTTGTCCATTTGGGTAAAATCTTTAATTTCTCATAGGGGCAATAACAAAATGAGAAACATCTCTGCACTGTCTTCCTATAGGATAGCTAGAAATGCTAAAGGGGTAAGATTTGCATCTAAATTTAGAATACAAATACATACATGTGACCATTTTTAAAATTATACATTTCAGTGAGGAATGTTCTAAATTTCAACAGTTGAAGCAAATTTTTGTATTACAACCACTAGATATATTTGGTTAATGTATAGAGCTTTTTCCTGAAAATTATGAGTAAAATTACAATAAAAGATTATTCTTTATTTATTTGTCCTAATATTTACACTGCACACATACCTACCAACATATGTAGTTTGTTTTGCCTCTTACATATGCATTTAGCAGTAGAAATAACTTAATCCTGAATTATGACTAAAACATAACTAACGCTCTTGACCAAATTAACAGGTATGAACTGAGCACAGTTTTTTTTCTTAAAAAACTTTTATACATTTCAGTGAGGAATGTTCTAAATTTCAACAGTTGAAGCAAATTTTTGTATTACAACCACTAGATATATTTGGTTAATGTATAGAGCTTTTTCCTGAAAATTATGAGTAAAATTACAATAAAAGATTATTCTTTATTTATTTGTCCTAATATTTACACTGCACACATACCTACCAACATATGTAGTTTGTTTTGCCTCTTACATATGCATTTAGCAGTAGAAATAACTTAATCCTGAATTATGACTAAAACATAACTAACGCTCTTGACCAAATTAACAGGTATGAACTGAGCACAGTTTTTTTTCTTAAAAAACTTAGAACTGGGGATAATAATAATAATTTTTTTTAAATTAGGAAACAGGTTGTTCCCAAGTATTTGCGGTAAAAAACTGTTTGCTGCCAATGAACATATTTATTTCAAACTTCTCATTATATTCCCACAAACCAGCATTATAATGATGTTAAATGAAAGTAAAACTACGTTTTAGTCTCACCAACATTGATACTACCCAGCTAGTGACTGTAAACACCAAGTTCTTACCAAGACCCGCCCCACATGAGAATAGCGTCTTGTGACTCTTAGACAGCTCTTTATCAGGTCATACGGAGCAAAAAAGCAGCGAAGAGAAAAAAATGGAGACTAGAGATAAGAAGAAATAGCTCTCCCCACCTCCTCAGAAATACTGCTTTTCTGATTAATGTACCAGTTTCATGTTCTACTACACTGGTCTTAACGGGGAGGGTGCTGCACAAACACTGACTGTGTCTTCTAAAATAACCTATTAGTACAACACAGGAAACTTATTGCATTCCAGGGAAAATGGAATTGCGTGATGTAAGAGATGATGTATTGTGTATATAAAACAAAGGATTACTGACTAACCTGTGATACACCTGAAGACATAAGATTGTTTTCGGAAACAAAAAGCACGACACGGAAGCAAGCACAACTAGTGACCTTAGTTACTTAAAATAACAGTTCCTGTGATCCAGGTTAGTTTCATTTCTGTTAGGGCTGACCATGAAAAAGCCAATGAACTTGTAAGAAAGCTAATTCAGCAATTCTCATAATTAATTCTATATGGTGTAATACTAACTATAATCGTAGTGTCTCTCTACGCAACGCGTTTTGTTGAGAATACACAAGAAAACGTGGAAGAAACGCTAGTAGCACACAGGTAAAAGTAATCTTGTCCGTGGTAGCAGCCGAGGTTGGGTGTACCGGGGGAAGTCCCACGTACCAGTGACTCACCCCTGTTGTCACTCGGCCCCGTTACAGCGACCTATGACTGGATGAAAAGAAGCCGAGTCACGCGTATTTACGAGGTACTTCCAGGGAGATGCACCCGGGCACGTAAAGCAGAACCGCGTGTTCCACGCTCACAGCCGCTCCTGCCTCGCTCCCCCGTCGGCCCGAGAGGGCCTGCCGAGGCTGGGAGATTAACGGGGAAGGGCACCGGTGGCTTTGAAGGGGCACAGGGGGAGATGATTCAGTTGGGGTACGTAAGTATTACAGAGGTAGCGTTGTACGGGGGGAATGGAAACGGGCTGGGCTGTGGAAGATGCGCTTCGTGGCGGTAACAGCTGCAGGGCTCTGCACACGACGGGGACACAGCCCTGGCCAGGCCCTCCCGCCCCGCCGAGGCCGTGAGGG